AGATGGAATAAATATTAATTTTCCTAAATATAACTAAATATTGTCATTATGTACCTTAACTTGTTAGCATTTAAGTACTTATGATTATATAACAATGTTTATTACTTTTACCTAACCTCGCCTGAAACACAGGATGTCCTAGTTCAGGCACCTTATATTGTAAACCTTATATAGCTTTAAGCAAGCTGTGTATTTCTAGACTATTATGTTTGTAATAAATTTTATTTATTATTATTGTAACTTAATTACAAGTTTCGTTGTAATAAGGTTAAGGTTTATTCAAGTCAAAATGTTTGCCCTTAAAATTGAACTCGGGACTCTGCATTCACTACTACTAAGACAATGAAAGCAACTATCGATACTAACTGATGTAGTTAAAAAACGTGATAAATAAGAAGAACATACATACATACATACATAACATCACGCCTTTTATCCCCGAAGGGGTAGGCAGAGGTCCACTGTACAATGTAACACCCACTTTTCACTATTTATATTATGAGTCCCATGTAATAGGGGGTGAGCCTATTGCCATATACCGGGCACAATTCCAGACTCCGTGCTACTACTGAGAATTTTTTTAAAACCCAGTAATACTTTGCCCGACCCGGGAATCGAACCCGAGACCCCTTGCTCGGCAGTCGCACTTGCGACCACTCGGCCTAAGAAGAACAAATATGTAAAAATTTGTCCAAAGAATAAATATCCAAAATAAATGATCAATAATATGAAAAATATCATATAAAGATAACTATGTATATTGCAAAAGATTTAAACATGAATCGAAGTGAGGCTTTTTGACACTAAACATGTAAGTTAAATTACTATCTTTGACCTCCTTGAAATGAATAAGTTTAATAATAGATACTAATGTTATTATCGTTATTATTTTTACTTTCAAAAATGCTAACCAAGTTCGATTATAAAGTTTGATATCTATTCTAGAATAAACCAAAATGGGATACAGGTATAAAATCAGAAAAGAGATCTGTCCGAAAAATGGAAAAACTGCATAATATTACATTGTTATATAAGATTACGAATAGTTATGAGAAAACGCATGGTCATTGTGAATAGACTCGATGTCGACAAATCACTTTCTCATCACGATGGTAAGTGTCCATCTTATTACCACAAGTGCGTTAGACACGTGTGTATAAATATATTGTCAGTCTTGTTGCTATGCTAGTAAAGTACATGACGCTTAGTATTTCATTCAGGGGCCAAAAGAAAGGCACTTTACTACTTTTCACCATAAATTTCATTTTATTAGAACTATGATAAACAGAGGCCACTATTAAATCGATACTATTATGGGCTCCTTACTTACTTATCCAGTTCTTGAGACTGGTTGGTTTTATACTTGACTTCGAAGACACCCGAAAGGATAGCTAGGTTTTAGCTTCTAGTACAAAAATCTTATCTATAGATATAGATTACCATAGTTGCAAGTTGGACCTGCCTGAAATGAAACCTGTTTTTAAAATTAACAAGTGAATATTAAATCATACTTGAGAACGAGGTCGTCCTTAAAACCTTGGACAAGGATAAAACTTAGGACTCATATAAACTAACCAGTCACACGTTTATCTATTAGACTAATTATGAAGTAGAGTAATAGTAGAAATACTAGATCATTGTAGAAATTTCTCCATTCTCACGCTCGTCACACATTTGATAGATGTACCAATTTGTTACGGCCACTTGTAGTCTGTCATTGAAGATGGCCGCCCGCTGCTTGGTGTATGCAAATCCGGATAGATTCGAGTAGATAGTAAGGTGTGGATTTAGAAAGGCTAATTTTGTGTTACCTACCTTATTAGTTGAGTGGTCGCTAAGTGCGAAGGTTGATGATAAGATGATGACGCCTCTGGTTCGATATGGTAGTTCATTAAAATGTTTCAATATTTAAAACCTTATGGAAATCATTATGTAACAGGAAATAAACAATACCCTTGTTTCAGTTGGGTAAAAATAGGTCTTAACAGGATATAAACAATACCCTTGCTTCAGTTGGGTTAAAATAGGTCTTAATAGATATCATAGTGTAGATCTGGCAGATCCCGCCGGCCGGCATTCAGTCCGCCTATGTTCAAAAACAAGTGCATGATGAACAACATTAAGTGTGGGAGAGCCATGCTTCGGCATTAATGGGTCGGCTCGACCGGAGTGGCTACGGCCGAGCAAAAAACCGACGTGAAGCAACGCTTGCGTTGTGTTTCATCGTATGAGTGAGGTTACCGAAAGCCCAGCTACCTCCCCCCATTCCCCAATCTCCCCAATCCCTGAATCCCCAATAATCCTGAAACTCCTAATCCCCAAAAGGCCGGTAACGCACTTATAACGCTTCTGGTGTTCCAGGTGTCCATAGGCGACGCCATTGCATACCATCAGGTGATCCGTCTGCTCGTATATCTACGGCATATGCCATTAAAAAAAATTATGCTTTATTCAATGAAAATATCACTCGAATCGAATTTGAACCTGTTATACTTGCAGTACTTTTATCAGGGTTTCTCTTCCACATCACATAATACACTGCTTATTCATTAGTAACAAATTATAATTAGACAAAAATATAGTATTTTTTTTTAAACTAGGGGTTAATAAGTCTTAACGCACAGTTAACTCCTTGACCCGCTTCTAAAGCATTAACAAATCGTTTATCCGTATGTGTGTAATTAGCTACAAAACTGCTACACCATTATGCAAATAGCATTATAGTTTGAATACTCCTTACTATTTGTTTATGCGTAATGAATGTAATGATTATAGTAAGTAAGTGTTATGTAGTATTAAGTGTTAATGTTATACACACAACATAATGTAATGTCATTATTGTTATACTCCAAAAATACCAGCACAGATTAATAAGAATTTATAGTATCTACACTATTTTTTGGATTTTGAACTTATTTTAGAAATAAATAAATAAGAAGGCTGCCTCGTTGGCCAAGTGGTCGCAAGTGCGATTGCCTGGCTAGGGGTCTCGGGTTCGATTTACAGGTCGGGCAAAATATTACTGGATTTTTTAAATAAATTGCTCAGTAGTAGGAAGGAGTCTGGAATTGTGTCCAGTATATGGCAATAGGCTCACCCCAGGAAATGTGGGTGTTACTTTGTACAGTGGCATTAGGTGCCGTAATGTGCACCTTTGCCTACCCCTTCTGGGATAAAAGGGGTGATGTTACGTTATAAATAAGAGGGATCAGTTTCAGGTTTTGATTTGGTAAGGAAACGAAAATATACCTGGGACCTCCTGTTCAGTCGATGCAGTTCCGACGACTGAATGCGTGGTCATGATTGTAAAATACCAATAATATTTTAATAATTACTTCTTTGTTATTTATGATTTTAAACCAATTATTTTCAAGGAGGTGAGGAAATAAATCAGGAGAAATTATACAGTAAGAGTACTTTTGAAAATACAGTGGTTTTTATTGTACTTGAAGTTAATGTAGCCACTGCTACATGCACCCAATGTTTCATTGGTCACTTGTTGATTTTAATGTCTAATCTAATTTCTTTGTATATTGAACTTCGAACAAAGTCAAAGTCAAAGCATTTATTTTAATTAAACCATAATTTGGTACTTTCGAAACGTCAACAAATACAAAATAAATAATAGTCTGTCAGTCAGTCCGTCAATGAAGCTAGGTGAAGCTAGATCAACAATAAATTGTTTAATAATGATCTATTACAGTATTTGTAATCTCGTTACATGATTTAATTTGAAACTTAAAAATGCGTATGATGATATTTGACACTAAAACGATTACGTCACAAAATGCAATCTCATACAAAATTCATAGAAACCTGTCGTTTTCAAAATTTCGAAAAATTGTAGATATTGGTTTGTAGGAATGTACCTATTCTAATATATTTTGATTTTATGAATGCCACTCCCACACAGTTTGGCCCGCTGTTTGACTCCCATTTATCGTAGCATGATATATTTTAACCTGAAAGAGGTAATTTTTTTAAATTAATTGAACAGTATTGCATAATACGATAGTTGACATTCACGTCAAATAACACACCTATTCCTTAAGATTTAGCTTAGAAATTAAAACATTGCCAAATCAATGAATGAACACGGGTTTATTTTTCAATATGTTATTGCATTGAAAAGTCAAAATTGAGGAAAAAAAAGTCAAAAGCTAGAAGTTAGTGCATACAAGCATGAAAACAAATTTGTCTTTAACTTTATTGTTAGCAAATGAACAAAAAACTAATAAAAATATCGTATATAGTCATTAATTATCTCGAGGTTTTATATTTATTTATAGACAGGACATTCTATTACTTATTATTTTAATAATAATTTTGAGGTCAAGCTAAATTTGGTTTTTAGAACGATTGCATCAGTGACACAATTTCACAAGTGCATCACATTTTAATATATTCATATCCTTATTTGATTATGTATATCAATTTTTACCACGTAAATTATTTATCTAATTAATAACAATCGTCGACTAATAATAATAACGAAAGCTAATAAGATTTAAAATAAAAAAATGTATGTGGTAATAGAAAATACTACTTTAACTTTTCAAAATGATTCTAATTTTCAAACGTTCAGAAGTGATTTTGTGTTTCTGTAGTTTTTTTAATGAATACATTATTTTTATGATTATTTCACGAAGGAACTTTAGAAGCAAACAAGATAAAAAATAAACTACTACTTTAATTCTTAAAAATTATTCCTTACCAAACTCAGGTTCTTTTCTACCCTAATTGTACGACTTAAATTCCATACATTAAAAAAATTAAAACTGGAGCAGATTTCCTTTCTTCCACACATTTAACCTCTATCACCAATCACTAGAACCTCACCCACAAAACGAAAAAAATAAAAAATAGTCCATTTGCAACCCGAATTCGTCCTCGGTAGCCTCTGCAAGTAAAGTAAAAGTAGACGGTCTGATCTCCAGTATATAAGCGGTTCGGTCGGAACACTGGCATCACACATCAGCGAGCGTTCGAACAAACTAGACATGGCCAAATACATCGTAAGTTTCAGTGCAGTGCGTGTGTCAAGTGTTGTGAGGGTGTGACCACTCCATGTGAAGTGAACTATATAGTTACATAGCAATTGGTGATTTTGGATGTGCAAACCGGATGCCCCCAAGGATTTCGTCTCCAAAGTGTTTTGCACCAGTTTTTTGGAAAAATGAACCACTTAGTTTGTGATCATAGATTTTCCGTCCCATAGACGTGATAGCTTCGAGGCTATACGATGTGATTGGGGGCTAAATTGGGGATAATTTGTGACTAAATCGACGACAATTAGGTCTTAGGTCATAGGTTCTTTCAGGATTTACAAAGTTTGGGAATCAGAGTCTTACAATAATGTCTGTTTACAGGTCGCCCTTGCCCTGCTGGGTTGCGCTATGGCTGAGCCTCCAGTGGGCTACAGCTACTCCGCCCCCTCATCCTCCATCTCCCTGGGCTCCCTCAGCGGCGGCGGCCACTACCACTCCGTGCCCGTCGGCCACTCCGAAAGCGAAGGTTACTTCGTAGACCCTCATCTCCTCCACAAAATCAAGAACATCCTCTTGTCTGAGGAGATCAAGAACCAGGAATACTCTGGTCATGGACACGGAGGACACGGACACGGACACGGCATCTCCTCCCAATACGGTGTCCCCGCCCCCGTATACGGTGTCCCCAGCCAGAAGGTTGTTGGCATTGAACTCGACCACGTCCAGCAAGCTATCCAGGTCGCCCAGTACCACCAGGCTGAAGAAGTTTACGCCGGCGGACACGGCTACTACTCTGGTGGTCACGGTGGATACTCCTCTGGTGGTCACGGTGGATACTCCTCCGGCGGTCACGGTGGATACTCATCCGGTGGTCATGGTGGATTCTCCTCCGGCGGTCACGGAGGCTCCTCTCACTACACCACCATCGGAATCCCCTCTGGATCTTACGGAGTACCCTCCGAGTCATACGGTCACCCCCACTAAACGACCCAAATTGTTAGTCATCTCATCTCATTTAATGTAAATCATGTGATCGCATCCTAGATGTTATTATGTATTATATTTGTTGTTATAAGTTTCTGTAAATAAAAACACAATCTATTTTGTACGAACGGTTCCTTGATTTAATGTCCGAACTTTCACACGCCGAGGTACGGCAACTGGTACATCTTGCTGCTACAATCGTAAAGCCATATGCGGTTAAACAAAAAAATATATTAATGCGAAACAAAAACATGTTTCGACGCCTTAAAGAGCAGTAATAGGTCCCTATCGAAAGTCGTTTTCGATAAAATCGAAAGTACTGATGTCAGCGAGCGACTTTATGACATGCGCGTGACGTAATTGACGTGCAATTTTATATTAAAGTGGAATTAAGTCGTTTTTTTCGACATATTAAGTTACATACTTAGCACCTCACCGGAATGAATCACTGGTGATTTCGCAACCTGTTGACCGAGATAAGTGAACGTAACAACCTTAAAACCGATGAGGAATTAGAAATTACAGTTCAAAATACCAGATCGCACTTTCGAGGATTAGATAAAAATTTCGAAACTGTTCATAATACGAGTCATCACGGGTTGCGTCAGAGTGGCCATTTTCACGGCATTAGCGAATAATTTCGCTCGAGTTGTTAATCCGAATGCACCATGCACTTTCTCCTTGCAACCTCGGCTGTTCCGAATCTTGCGAGTGTTACATAATTTACGCATGAGAGGAGGCTGGCCAATGATCTGGTCCTCGCCATCTGTAGGATCTTGTTTAGGTACTGGCACATCAAATTATTCGGTTACTTAACACTATTCTGTTAATTAACTGCTGTTGTAATATTCAACTCACGTATTACGTTTTTTAAAATATTTTGAGTTGAAGTTCTCTTCGATAATTAGCATGTTCATTGTTCATCTCCTTTCTTATACTCAAATTGAGTAATGTCTTTCTTACGAGCGATACGAAAATTAAGCTCTTCATATATTTTTGTTCTTACTTTCTCCAATTTTGCAACCAGTTGTATTGTAATGATATGGTTTTGCAGTCAGAGGTCATTTACGTAGTTACCATGACAGTACTTAATATTGCGTGTGCAAATTGCATGAATTTCGGAAAATATGTTAAATGAAATAACAACGGTTATAACTCGGGGTCATTTTGCATTTGACAATAGTAAAAATTATTCCTTACGTTTTATTTTTATTTTATTGTTAATTTAGGTCAAGAGCGTATTGATTTTTTTTCAACCTATTTAGTATTCACTTTTTTATGATGCAAAAGATACCCGTCTCGGGAATTGAACCCCAGACCCCTGCCTAGCAGTAGCTCTTGCAACGAGACAGACAGATAGACGATACGTTAAGCTTTATATTAAACTACATTCTTATCATATTTAGAAAATCAGTTTCATCTTGAGAATTCTTTAATACATAATGTTTGAGATAACATTATACATAAGATAGCTACAAGGTAATTACACAGTAGCAATTAGTCAGTTGGTATCTACTAATGACTGCGAAAACATGGGAAAATACATGCTACTCAAGAATCAAGAACTTATTTGATTATTTGCACCAAAAAATAAAATAAATCTATAAATGTATACATCATCTTGGTTGGTCTGTTTTTTACCCGACTACGTCGAAGCCAAAAGGAGGGTTATGATTTTCGTCTATAGAGGGAATCAATCTGATTAAATAAAAAACATGATCTTGATTACCAATTGTTGCACGATTTGTGTTAAGGTAATAGAATTGTATTTTCTGAAAAACTTCTATCTCTTTCTCATGTAAAATCTACTAAGTACACATTACACAAAATTAAAAACTCATTCATCTTCATATACGTTCAGACAAAAAAGTATAATGAATAGTATAATATACGAATATGTATATATAAATGTTATATAATACTGAATTATTAATTGTCCTACTGTGTTGCACTGGACTGCCTCGTTGGCCAAATGGTCGCATGTGCGACTGCCGGACAAGAGGTCTCGGGTTCGCTTTCCAGGGCGGGAAAGTACTACTAGGTTCTTAAAAAAATCTCAGTAGTAGCATGGAGTCTGGAATTGTGCCCGGTATATGGCAATAGGCTCACCCTCTATTACATAGGACTCATAACATAAATAGTGAAAAGTGTGTGTTACATTGTACAGTGGCATTAAGTGCCGTAGTGCGCACCTCTGCCTACCCCTTCGGAAGTAAAACGTGTGATGTTATGTGATGTTATACAATAACTTAAAAAACCAGTGTTACTACTATCTAAAGTGGACTGACAGTCTTTGGCTATTTAGAGTATACTTGTTTAACAATTTGTTTAAATGTATTAATAGTACGAATAATTTCACTCAGATCTTAAGGCCCTTAGATGAACGAGGTTTTAATAATGACGAAGACTTTACTTTGAAAATCTGAAGGTATTTGGGAATCGAACATGAGCTGCAACTTGCAAGCTGCCTGCTAAACACATCAATAATAATCCGATTCTAGCTGATAATAATGACGTCTTTTTAAGCTGCTGTCATTTCTCCATTTTTTCAGATTAAAAATCACATGGAAAACTGGGGAAAATTAGAATTCAGGAATAACTTTCATGGTATTAAGTATACCAGTAGTAGTATATACAAAATAGTATAGCTAGCATAGTAGTTACAAAATGAGCTACTATCCTTACAACTATATCCCCAAGTCGATCCAAATCTTTCGAAATTCATTGCAAATAGAAAGAATGAAAGAAAAAAAAAACCTTTTATTACACCATGACACTTCTTCATCTTCTTCTTTAGCCCTTTTCTATCCTTAAGGTGTAGGCCTCCATCAGTTCGGTCTTGAGCAATTTCTATCCATTTCGTGCCAGTTCTTCGTTTGATGTCATCGTACCAACGCATCTGTAGTCTTCCCTGTGGGCGTTTTTCGCCCCACGGTCTCCACTCTATCACGGCTTTGCACCACGAACCCTGTTTGCGTGCAACGTAACCATGACACACGCAGATAACAATACAAGAACAGAGAAAAAGGAGTTCGTGGTGTGTCGCAGCGCAAAAGCGCCGAAGCTCAGCGCCGTGGACCGGCCATGAAGGTTCGAGTCCACAGCACTGATTTTCAGCACCAGCCTGTATAATGCTTTATGGTTTATGGTAACACTCATCAACTGCCTATAAATGCCCACTGCTGAGCAAAGCCTCTTCCCACACGGAGAAGGTTTGATCATTAACCACCACGCTTGCTCAATGCGGGTTGGCAATTACAAACTTATAAATTAGAAATTATAAGCCCAGGTTTCCTCACGATGTTTTCCTTCACCTTCATGGTAACACTGCCTAATTTAAAAAAACAAGTAGGTAGTGTAAATTATGATAACATGTGGTCTTAAATGTTTAATTTTAACATGTGACTGCGAATTATATTTTAGTATTTGTTTAGTGGTGTCAAGGTCTTGGTTTTGATTCTTGAACAGGACATGAGATATATTTTTTAGGTCGGACTAGGTTACGCTGTGACAAGGTTATATAATTAGTTTGTACGTGTTAATTAAACTATGCAATATAAAAAAATCTTAGTAATAGGACGGAGCCTATAGTTGTGTATATGTATAGTGACCTTACTTAAGAACTTTTTTACATATTTGGTGAAAAGTGGTTCTTTCACCTAACATGCTAACATTTCTCTGAAGTGACCTGCCGAGTCCCGCGGTCACCAGTGATCACTCTCCACTTACTCCTCATCTACTTTTGTATGAACAATTGTTGTGTGTCACGCCTTTTATCCCCGAAGGGGTAAGCAGAGGTGCACATTACAGCACTTAATGCCACTGTACCATGCATCACCCACGTTTCACTATTTTATGTTATGATTCCCATGTAATAGAGGGTGAGCCTATTGCCATATATCGGGCATAATTCTAGACTGAGACTCAAACTTTTAAAAACCCTGTATAATTTTCTCGACCCGGGAATCGAACCCGAGACCCCTTGCCCGGCAGTCGCACTTGCGACCATTCAGCCAACGAGGTAGTCATAAATTTATCATAATGATTATAATCCACGACACATTCACTGCTGAACATAGGCCTTATCCTAGACTTCCAGATTAGCCAGTTAAAGGTTATCTTACAACATATACGTAGTACATAACAGACTCTTAGTACCACATTATGTGAGAGAAATTGAAGCTAAGAGCTAGTAATAAATAAATACGACTGCATTGTTGATTCTTCACACCAATTATTGAGACAATGAACCTGAATAAACTTCTAACAAAAAAAAACACAACTGGTTTTTTTGCTTAGAACACCTCGTAGATGAAGTGGCAACTATAAGTTTCATTCCGACGTTAACGAAAGTATTCTGCTTCGATTTATTGTGTGAGATTAGTGTTGTTAATTTCATTTCGGGTTGGAACGATCTGGATCTGTTTTAGACATATTGTACTTAACTAAAACTTTACTACTTAACTTAAAACTTAATTGCGAAACGATATATGTAAGTTGGATACGTCTAGACGTTATTGTGGATTCACATACACATAGGTTACCTTTTATCCGGGTAATACGAGCGTAATCTTATCATCAACAATCTACAAGTGCCCACTGCTGAGCAAAGCCACGTTTGCTCAATGCGGGTTGGCGATTTCAAACTTATAATTAGAAATTATAAGCCCAGGTTTCCTCACGATGTTTTCCTATACCTAGTGTTTGGTAGTGGTGTCTAAGTAATCTTGGAAAGTACATAACTCAGAAAAAGTCACATTGCTACATGCCGTTGGTAGGTTTAAAACCCGCACCCGCCGCATGAGAACCGGGCTTATTAACCTCCGGGCCACATTTACATTATCCCGGTAACGCTAACATAATCTTTTGTACCATTATTAGTATATAAAGCCGAAGAGTTTGTTTGTTTGATGGTTTGTTTGAACGCGCTCATTTCAGATACTACTGGTCCGATTTGAAAAAAATATTTGTTATGGTTTTGGTCTATCCACTGACCATTT